TATTATTATTACTATTATTTCTCCTTGTATGTGCTGAATTGCAACTATGATATTTATTCGCACTTCACGATTAACTTCAGATTCATAATAATACATAGATAATGCAATGAAATTTGCCGTACAAAGTGAACATTCCTCACTGATAAAAATACTATTTAAATAAAGGAAGCATCCTTTCTAACCAATCACAAGTCTTTTATACGCATTAAACCACTTTTCGAGAGCAGACACAGGGCGACACTCTCAGCAGCGAAAGATGTATGGAGACGCGGCGGCCTCCGCTCGTCCCGCAGCGCAGTCGGCGCGGGGCGCACATAACTCACGGGGGCGACGCGACGGCCGCAGCCGCAGCCTCGGCCGCGCCGCCCCGCCCCGCGCCGCTCCGCGCCACCCGCGCCGGCGGCTCACCTTCATGATGTCCCACTCCACGGACAGATAGTAGTCCTGCAGGTCAATGCCCATCTCGATCATGTCGGAGTCCGGCGTCTGCGCGATGTGCCTCAGGTCCACCTGCGGACAGACAGGGCCGACAGGGTCACCACTTGTCACACACGTCTCCTGCCCGCCCCGGGTCGACGACGAAAGCCGCACGCCCCCGCGCAAATGTGCGTCCCGACGGCTGACAGCCCAAGGCCGATTATACGCGCTTTCATTCACAATCCGACTGCCGATACGTCCGACCCGTTTGGCGATAATCGTGATATAAATCACGGCCGTTTTCAGGATTTGGCGGGAGCGTAAATTCGAGTAATACGGCACGAGGAGCATTAAGAACAAGAACACTGAATAATGTCTTTTTATGGACTCTTTTATGTTTTTAGAGTCTTTTTTACCATATTCTAGCTACATGCGTCGTTACAGTATATTTGAGCTCTGTTCGAAACACCAATAAAGTGTATTACATTATTATAGTACAACATAATGTGCACACGACTGTTAATAGGATGGAGGGAATGAAGCGATGCATTCCGACCATGCACCATGTATACTTGCAGTAATCAATAAATTATTCATTGTCATCCAATTAGTCTATATCTAGCCTGATAAAAACTGAGCGTATATACTCTTAATATTCAGCATCATTATTGAAAATTTAATATTTAAATCATTTTAAATATTTGCATTAATGAATATTGGTTGGTTAAAAATATATTATTAATGTAGGGTACATGAAATAAACATTCACAAGTATAATAATATTAAACAGAATACTTTAAAATACATTACTCATAAGGAGGTATTCATACCCACAATAATCATGTCAAGATTGTTGGCTTGAATTAAAAGGCAAATTTTTATGTAATAGTTTGATTTAAATTTCAAGTGTTTAAATTTAAAAAATCTTTGAATAGAGAAGCAAATTGTATGGTAAAATTTCTATTACTTTCTATTTCTATAGAGCAAAATTAAAATGCATCTAACGTTTTTAGACTCCTCTTATGATACAGTCTAGCGAGGACATTTCTCACCAAAGCAATTAAGAAATTGAGTAACTTTGGTGCACTTGATGGAGTTATGGAAACTAAATCAGTAAACGTCATCTTGCCTTAATATATAGGCTTCTGCTGTTAAGAACAAGCAGTCCGTGAAGGGGCCGGACGCTTGCTCGTTATGAGAGAGCGCGACTGACCGGGCTCCCGCTTGGAAATCACAGTCGAGAGAGTTATGGCACAATATCCCGAGCGCGGAGGCAGAGGCAGGGAGAGGCGAAGGCAGGACGAGGCACCAAAACAGGAAGGTTTAAGGAGGAGACCGGGAAGCACGAAGAAGGGTAGGGTGGAAAAGATGTAGTGGAGAAGAGAGGGGAGGAACGTGGAAAATAATGAGGGGCTAGAATGGGAAGGACAGAAAAAGGTAGGCTCAGGCGAAATGGTGCAAGCGAGATGGGTAAAATAATACAGGTCGGTGGGTGATCACGAAAGGTTGGCGGATGGATGGCTTGGTGTTTGGGTGGGCTGGTGGGTTGATGGGTGGGTT